CGGGCGGAGTTGCTGAAAAGTTCGGCGGCGGCAGGAAGTGGGCAGAGCGGAGCTGCGCGGCCCGGGGCGCCATGAGGGTCCGGGCGGCCGGGCGGCGGACCTGGGCGGGCAGGAGCTGCGCGCTGCTGGCGCTGCTCACCGCCGCCTACTTCCTGGTGGAGCTCTCGGTGTCCACCTTCCACACCAGTACCCGGGGCGGCCGCGCGCGGGAGCCGGGGGCCGGGCGTCTCGCGAACTTGCAGCGGAGGGAGGAGGACCTGTCCCGGCCCCTGTACGAGAAGCCCCCCGCCGACCCCCGCGCACTGGGCGAGTGGGGCCGAGCAAGCAAGATGCAGCTCGGCAAGGAGGAGCAGAAGCAAGAGGAGGAGCTCATTGAGAGGTATGCCATCAACATTTACCTCAGTGACAGGATTTCCCTGCACCGCCACATAGAGGACAAAAGAATGTATGAGTGCAAATCCCAGAAGTACAACTACCGCAGGCTTCCCACCACCTCAGTCATCATCGCCTTCTATAACGAAGCCTGGTCCACCTTGCTCCGCACCATTCACAGCGTGTTGGAAACCTCCCCTGCAGTGCTTTTGAAGGAGATCATACTGGTGGATGACTTGAGCGACAGAGCGTATTTGAAGACTCAGCTGGAAACTTATGTCAGCAATCTAGAACGAGTCCGCCTGATCAGAACCAATAAGCGAGAGGGCCTGGTTCGCGCCCGCCTCATCGGAGCCACTTTCGCCACTGGCGATGTCCTCACTTTCCTAGATTGCCACTGTGAGTGTAACTCAGGCTGGCTGGAACCACTCCTGGAAAGGATTGGCAGGGATGAAACAGCAATTGTTTGTCCTGTCATAGACACCATTGATTGGAATACTTTTGAGTTTTACATGCAGACAGGGGAGCCCATGATTGGTGGGTTTGACTGGCGGTTAACTTTCCAGTGGCATGCTGTCCCCAAGCATGAAAGAGAAAGGCGGACATCAAGGATTGACCCCATCAGATCGCCCACCATGGCTGGAGGGCTGTTTGCTGTCAGCAAGAAGTACTTCGAGTACCTGGGGACATATGACACAGGCATGGAAGTGTGGGGAGGTGAGAACCTGGAGCTGTCCTTCAGGGTGTGGCAGTGTGGTGGTAAATTGGAGATCCACCCGTGTTCTCATGTGGGCCACGTGTTCCCCAAGCGAGCACCCTACGCTCGCCCCAATTTCCTGCAGAACACTGCACGGGCGGCTGAAGTGTGGATGGATGAATACAAAGAGCATTTCTACAACCGGAACCCTCCAGCACGGAAGGAAGTTTACGGTGATATTTCCCAAAGAAAATTACTACGAGAACGGCTGAGATGCAAGAGCTTTGACTGGTATTTGAAAAATGTGTTTTCCAATTTACATGTACCAGAGGATAGACCAGGCTGGCATGGGGCTATTCGCAGTTTGGGAATATCTTCTGAATGTTTAGATTATAATTCTCCTGACAACAACCCCACAGGAGCTAACCTTTCGCTCTTCGGATGCCACGGTCAAGGAGGCAATCAGTTTTTTGAATACACTTCAAACAAAGAGATACGCTTTAATTCAGTAACTGAGTTGTGTGCGGAGGTTCCTGAGCAAAAGAACTATGTAGGGATGCAGAACTGTCCTAAAGATGGGGCCCCTGCTCCGGTAAACATCATTTGGCACTTTAAAGATGATGGGACCATTTACCATCCACACTCAGGACTTTGTCTCAGTGCTTATCGGACACCTGAGGGTCGGCCTGATGTGCAGATGAGAACTTGTGATGCTCTAGATAAAAATCAAATCTGGAGGTTTGAGAAATAGAGGGGCGCAAGGCCACTTTCATTTGCAACTGACAGTGGCATCAGGAAAGCCAGAGCCTCAGCTTTTGTCCGCAGCCATGCACCTGTGAGTGCACCAGAAGGCTGGGGTTCTTTTTGGAATGTTGCCCTGAACCTGGTTACATGGTGCTGCTGTGGAGTATTCCAAGTGCCTTCCCTTTGGGTATCTTATCTGAGAGCTTTGTCAGTGTGCCTCTTACTTCAAAAAGCTGACTGTGAATTGAGATACACAACATTGAAGTGCCAGACTCACTATTAAAGAATGTAGAAGTTCAAGCAAATGAATGTGCATTTTGGGCTATTGCTAATTTGGTTACATAGAGTTTAGCTAACACTGAAATCCTAGGTTTTATTTTTTTAAACTAATTTTTCCCTAATCAAATACAAATCAAAGAAAGTTGATCTTGAGGGAAAGGTGGGGGTTTAAAGCTATCTGTAAACAGATATATGGAGTCATTGGAAGAGGGCATTACTTTGCATGTGAGCTTGAAAGTTTAACATAGCTCAAAAAATTATACCCATGACTGAATGAAATGGGATATTTACATTCCACACTTTGTGACCTTCAGTTGTTGGACTCAGCTGATCTATACATTGATACCTCGAATAGTTCTGATTTTTAAGCTGTTCTGTGAACTTGTTCATGAGTGTAGGGCATTTTCTGATTGCACTTCCTTAAGTTATGAATGTACTAGAAAAAAATTCAGAATACTTCACATCTCTTTGTTAATACTTAATCAAGGAAAGTAAACACAGTTGAGGCTTCTGACGTTAAACCCAATCGCATTTATGAAAATGTGTGAAACTGAAAGTGGGCCCGGAGCTGCACTGGCCATGGCCCCCTCCGGAAGCTTGCACTGACTTGGGCGTTGAGGGCTTTTGTGAGATTACAAGGAAAAACCCTGAACCTGGCACTCATGAACCCAGCCTTACAGCCCATTCTCAGCCCACAGCAGCGTGGCGCTGTGGCACTCTGCGTAGATAGGCTAGTGAGGTGGGTGCTGGACCAAGGAGTGCGCCTGTGATCAGGTCCTCTGATGTCTGTGTGGGCCTCAGAGACGTTGCTGTGGGTGCTGGGTTGGGTCTCGAAGCTCCCTCCCAGCTCTGACACATTGGCTGTATGATGTCCCTGCTGTGGACTCAGTCACTGTGTAATTTCTACAACTTTTAATCCCTTCAATTTAACATAGGTAATGTTGAACAATTGAGCCATTTGTAAAGCTGGAAAAAAGAAAAGTTTTTAAATATTCAGTGAGGGATAAAAACCAGGAATGGTGGCACACACCTGTGATCCCAGCATTTGGGAAGCTGAGACAGGAGGGTCACTGATTTTAAGGCCAGCCTGGGCTGCATCAGAAAGCTCAAAACCAGTCTAGACTGCCATCCTGTCTCAAAAAAATATGAATAAAAAAAAAATTAAGTGAGGCATGAGAGAATAGCACAATGGTAGAGCACTTTCTTAAATGCCTGAGGCCCTGGGTTTGTGACCCAGAACTAGAAAAAAGTGAGCTGAGCTCACCTGAACTGTATATTTTTGTGGGGATAAAGTTGTAGTTACTGCTTGTAGTCTGTTATATAATTCTGACAATTGTTGAACCAATTTTGTTTTTAAAAATTTAAACCCTAATAAAAGTACTTTTTTGACTAAGAATATATTTTCCAAACTAAATTACTTGAGAGATAAGTATATTTTAAAAGTATTTTTATTAGTTTCATACCAGTGTTATATCCAGAAACCACAAAAACTACAGGCTGAATCTCAGTTACTAAACTAAACTCCATTATTTCACTTTGGATTTATGAAAAATGCATGCTCTACCTAAAGAATTAGTTGACGGGACTCATAGTAAACTTATTTTAAATATTTATATGATGAGAGAATAGAAAGTTTGCAAAATCTAAATTTAAGAAAATTGTTTAGGATGTCCATTTGGAAAATTAAAATTGCTATGTAGTTATGATTGTTTCTCTTTGGCTATCTAAAACGAAACTATGTAAGTTACTGTGAGTCAGCTACCAGCCTTAACATTTATCACATAGTTGCCTAATTCCATATGTAATGGGTGTCCCCAGATGTAATATAAAAAATACTCTGAATTTTTCATGAGCTAGACCCATTCACTCTGTTGCCCAGTCTCCTTTTTAAGATACTTTTCTACATTTTACTCTCATTTAAACATTCATTTTTTGTTGTTCTATTTAGCCCCCTATCATGTGGCAGAGTTAAAATGGACACAGTCTGAAGCATTACTGGTGCCACTTCTGTCTTAGTGCTTTGGTGCTGCCACCAAAAGGAAAGCAAGGCATTGAAGAGTGAAGCACTTAATTTGTCACTTGCTGTCCTGATTTAGGGGTGTGACCTAGTAATTTTGGGAAATATTTTAGACTGGTGCCTTATTCTTGTCAACAATTCAGAGTGGTTAGGCTATTTATTCCTCGTTACAGTACATGTAACAGAGAAAAGAGATTTATGTTTTAGTATCTAGACAAGGTCCAATTTAATTCCAAACTATAATACTACACAGAAAATATATTTTAATTAATTTATTGGTACCAAAGCTCTCTTTTGCTGTAGACAATTAAGAGTTGACCTTTTAAGCTAAAGTTCCATGCTTGGTAATATTTTAATGAAGTATTTGGTGAGCAATTAGTTTCCACTTTAAATATTCACTGTGTCATTTAGTGATGAGTTCTGTGAATGATCTATATAAATATTTTCAGCAGTCATTCTTATTTATGTTTGATAAGGATCTCTATAACTCAACATAACTTCTTTGTAAAAAAAAAAAAAGTTTACTCACCCAGGGTAGGCTCTGTGTGTGTGTTATGTTAGCAAATCAGAATTTGCTGGGTCGAAGAGAAGATGGGGTCTCAACTTTAGTTACTATGATACTCAGTTTTGACTTGTCTTTTTGAATTGTTTTAATAATATTTTTGAATGAGCACAAAGAATGTTAAAGCTCAGATTGGTCTCTTAATCGGTGATTTTTTTCCTGTGTGATGAGCATGTTTTTCTCTGTCATTAATGGCATTTGTAATGCTGATTAAGACATACAAAATAAAATGCGTGCCTTATTTTTGCAAATAGATTCTGCTGACTTTAATCTGTGGGATTATGGTTCCTGTGTATACAGTTTTAAGCATAACAGTTAAGCTTTTAATTCTTTCACTTATTTGAAAATGTACAACAGAATATAGAAAAAAAATCAAGGTTCCCAAATTACTTTGCATACTTTGGTGTCACTAACCAGTGGATGTCCTAAAGTGACGTTACCGCTGTTACTGCACTAACTACCCAGGAACAAACTGGAAGCGGTCACGGGGTCTCTGGGACCACTGGAGCTACTGTAAAAGGAAGCAGGCTGGCAGCCGGGGGAATGAGCATTAATTTCAAAATTCTGGGCTGAAAAGAAAAATGTCTGTCCAGTAATTCACAGTGGCTCATTCCTCCTGCTCTCCCAGGCAGTGCATGTTTCTCTTCATTGATACTAGGCTCCTCCTGTACGACGCTGCATGAGAATGGCTAGGCAGAGGACGCGATGGCCAGCTGTCCTGCAGGCACGTTTAGGATATGTGTATGTGTATTAAACATTTTCTCCTCTGTGTTCATATATACTTAAAAATTGCTGTAAAAGCATATTTACTCTAACCCTGTTCTCTTGCTGGGTGACTCTTGCTACTCTGTACAAATTACTTCATCTCTGTGTGTTTTTGTTCCCTGAATGTAAAACAGGACTGGAAAATAGTATCTTAGTAGTTGCCAGGGTTGAGGTAAGGGGAACAGAGAATGATTGCTAAGGAACAGGGATGGATTTTCCTGGGGGTGGAGGAAGTAATGAGCATGTTCTGGACTTAGTGGCAGTGGTTGTATGACTTAGGGCAAAACACTGAATTATTTACTTACTTTAAGAGAGTAACTTGCATTATATGAATTATATCTCAATTTTCAAAAATACTTCAGGAATTAAAAGGAGTGGGGAAATTTCAGGGGTTTTTTTTAGGAGAGATCTATGTCTCTGCTAGATTTTAGAACAGCAGATGGGATTTTATTATTGATAATACAATGCTAGTTACTTTGTGATATGAAGAATTAAAGGTGCGTGCGTGTGTGAGTGTGTGAGTAAAAGAACTTTCCAGCTTAGTATTAGGTACAGCATGGACATTGGGTGCTAGAATTTTTTCAAAAGATGTTTCAGACTCCTAAATTAATTCTTTTGGACAGGAAGTAGATTACTGGAAAGGTAAAATGAGAGCCTGTGATCTGTGGTTGTTCGTGGCAGAAAAGCAGATGCAGAAGTCCCTCTGAGTTCCTCATAATAATTGGTGCCTGTTTTCTGTGTCAAGCTTTATTGCCCTCCCAGGTTGGGCATGAAGAAACGCTTCCTTCAGGCTGGCAGCAGCCTCAGGTGTGAGGGCAGCATTCCAACCCACTTACTTGCTCGTATCTAATCTCATTGAAAAAAGGAAGGGTAAAGACTTTATTTAGTATTCCATTGTTTAGTTAGAGCTTCTGTGTGCCAGATGTCACCCTGTGTCCTGGGCAGACAGATTTACAAAGGTGCCCCAAACAGCTGAGCTTCCGAAGATGGTACGAAGTTTATGGTCCAGTGGTACAGACCAATATTAACAAGTAAACCTACAAACCCATCTGCAAGCACAACTTGGTAAAGAAAGACAATGCTGTGAAGGAGATGTCTGAGATGTAGAGGGTCAAGAAATAATTTTCTGCAGAAGTTAAGCTTAATGGGAGAACCTAAAGGAGTCAGCTAGAAGAAGACTGAAGAGAAGTATAGGAAAGGCCAGGTGTGGAAAAGAGTTTGTCCTAGGTGGAGGGGGTCAGAGAATCCAGAGAGAGGACAGCCTGGCAAAGGAGGAGGGAGAGAGCGGTTGCAGGAGTGAGCAGAGACGGCTTGAGCAGCACTTGGGGTTACACGGCATCAGATGCTCAGAAGCGGTGTCTGCGTGCTGATCCCTGCAGCTGGCAGTGTGACTTTATTTGAAAGGAAGAGCTGTCTTTGTAATCATTAAGGATCTTATGATGAGGTAACCCTGAAATGCCTAGGTGGGCCTGAAGCCCAGTGACAGTGTCCCCTAAAAGAGAAACAAGACCAGAGAGGTCACGTGAAGCCACGCATGGGATGGGATGATCAGATCGCGGCAGAGATGAGGCACCAGAAGCTGGGAGCAGAAGGGAGGGGCGAGTGCTCCTCAGGCCTTGGGAGGGGGTGTGTGTCTGCCAGCACCTTCTCTTCTGGCTTACAGAACTGTGAGAATAAATGTCTATTGTTTTAGGCTTCCACATGTGTGATAATTTGTTTCAGTGGCCACAGGAAACTAAATTGAGGGATTTAGTTCTGAGAGCTGTGGAAATTGTTGAAGGTTTTTTCTTTTTCAGTTTTCTTTTATTGTTGTATATGTCTACAGAACATAAAGGTTACATTCTTTGTGGGGAGTTGCTACATGTACGTAATTCATCTTACACCTCAAGAAGATCACTCTGACTTCTTTGTGGAGACCAAAGTGTTAGTGAAATCATTTAGGAGCCATTACAGCAGGAAGTGACAGTGGTGCACATACAGTGGCTCTCCCCGGGAGTGGTGGGCTGCTGTGAGAGAGGATCAGGAGTTATAAGCACAGAGGCGATGCTCACAGTCATGGGAAGGACACAGTCATCCGGGAAGATGCACAACTGTGACAGCAAATGGCCCATGTCTGAGCCCCAAATAGCTGCAAGCTTTAGATCAGAAGAAGAGATAGCAAAGGAATCGAAAAAGGAATAATCAGAAGGACAAAAAGTAAAGCCATTACATGGAGTGTCGTGAATGCCGAGTGGGGCAGAAATGTTGAAGACAAGACATCGGTCATTAGAAAGAGCAGGGAACAAACAGCTCTGCGTACTGCTCTGCAGTGTACAAGACAACATGGCGAATTGGTGATCAGCATTTCAACACTCAGTGGGGGAGGAGTGTCCTGCAACCTCTCACTGGGACAAATACTGTCTCAGCAATATAAAGTGATTCGAATTTTGCATTGGGGATTTAAAAAGGGAAACACCAGGGATTCGATATGTGTGTGTGTGTGTGTGTGTGTGTGTGTGTGTGTGTGTGTGTGTAAGAGGCATGTTATAAGCCGGATATTTAAGTAAAGTTGGTGAGAAGCCAGCTTCATTGGAGAACATAGGTCAGTGAATTGGAAGTTCTGGGTAAAAATGGACACTACTGAGCAAGATAGGGATAAAGAATGCAAGTTGGCACCATAAATGCGTTTGGTACAGGATCTCGCTATGCAGCTCTGACTCATAGTGCTCCTGCTCTCTCAGCCTCCCTGGCAGTGGGATTTCAGGTGTGTGCCACCACAGGTTTTGATGAATGATTTGGAATGTAAGTGTTGAGGTCTGCTGGTGACCAGTCTAGGAAGTGA